AGACCCAGATGAATATACTCACACAATGGAGAAAGGAATGTGATTTCAGAGGCAGAATTCTAGGCAGAAGTTTCATATATGGGAATGTTTGGGGAGATACTAAATGGTCTGGCTGAAATGAAGCAAAAGATGCTGCATTGAAAAGAGAATGAGGGCTGGGGATGTGGCTCAGCGGTAGAGCGCTCGCCTAGCACAGGGTGGGACCCGGGTTCGATTCTAGCACCACATAAAAATAAAGGCATTGTGTTGTGTCCATTTACAAAAAAAAAAGAGAGATATCCTTCTCTCTCAAAAAAAAAAAAAAAAAAAGAGAGAGAGAGAGAAATGAGTGGGAAAATGGGAAGGGGTGGTGGCTGTACTTGCTGGAATGTTCTGACTGCTGGCTGGAAAGCAAGCACAGAGAGGGTCAGAGTTCAAGATAGTGTAGTGATCCCAGCTGGCAGCACAATCAGCTGTGGCTCTCTCTCCTGCATTCAGCCCTGCCTTGGTCTGTCCAGACTTTCAGCTTCTTCACTGAGAGCCCCCACTGGGCTCTGCCTGAGTTCCTCTTCATATCACAGTGTAGACTCTCTCCAGGCTGCAAGTGGTCAGCTTCCTGGTTTACCATCTCTCACCTGTCTGGCTATTTTGTGTTGGAGTCTAGAACAGAGGAGAGGAGAGGTAGACATGGAGGGACCACTTAGAGGGCTACTGCAGTAGTACAGATGAGCGAGAAGTTTGAGGTGCATTTTGCAGGTAGAAGCAGAGCTAGTTACAAGTGTAGGATTGAGGAGAACGAAGGAGTCAAGGGTGGTTGGCTTTTTTTTTCAGCAGTAAAAAGGAGATACTATATCACGGTTGAAGGAGGATTGGGCACACGCTGGCTCCTGCAGGTTCTAAAAATATGTGTGACTGCAGGGCCTGGCTGCTGCTTTTGGGAATGGGGAAGCTTGTGTACCGACCTGGAGACCCCGCCACTCATCTGTGAAGTTCAAAGCATCTTCAGTTTTATGCCTCTGTCCTTTCCAACCACAGCCTTCTCCTTTCCCTTTCTGTCTTCCTGAGTCCCAGGTCAACCTTCAATTCCCTAAGAGTTCCTTCCTTCCTTCCTTCCTTCCTTCCTTCCTTCCTTCCTTCCTTCCTTCCTTCCTTCTTCCCTCCCTCCCTCCCTCCCTCCCTTCCTTCCTTCCTTCCTCTCACTAAGTTGTATAGGGCCTTGCTGAGTGGCTGAGACTGGCTTTAACTTTGAAATCCTCCTACCTCAGTTTTCCGAGTTGTGCCACCATGCCCAGCTTTCTCAGAGCTCTTTACCAGAGAAACCTTGGTCAGCTGATGATCTGCATATGACCACAGCCTTCAGTCCTCATATTCCCTTAGAGTTGGGTTCAGAAGAGGTGCCAGGCCAAGGACCTGTGGGATCCAACCATGGGGCCCAATTCAATTTGTGTTGAAGGTGATGGAGATGGGAAAGGTGATCCACCAGGACTTCTTAAAATTTTCTTTGAAAGAGTTGCTGAGCCTGTTCTTCTCAACAGGTCTGTGGATCTGGCCCATGATCACAGGTAATATCATAGGTTTAGGATTTTTATTATTTGTTTAGTACTTACTTGTAATACTTCTGTTACAAAATTTTTTATGATGGTAAAATAAATATAACATAAAATTTACCATTTTAACCATTACCAGTCTACAGTGTCATTCATTAATATTTCTCATCATTGTGCAACCATCACCCCCCCACACCCACTTCCCAGAACTCTTTTCAATCTGCTAAGTAGAAACTGCACACATTAAAGAGCTCCCCATTCTCCTCAGCCCCTGCCAACCACCGTTCTACTTTCTGTTTTCATGAATTTGACTACTGTAAGTACCTCATATAAGTGGTGTCACCTATTTGTCTTTTTGCAACTGACTTATTTCATTTAGCATAATGCCATTAAGGTTTATCCACGATGCACCATGTGCCAAAATTGCCCATGTTTTTGAGGTTGAAAAGTATTTCACTATTATGGATATGTCACAGTTTATTCATTTGTGGATGAACCCTCTGGAGCTCTACCTTTTGGCTCTTGTGAATAATAATGAACATGGGTGTACAGCTATCTCTTTGCGTCTCTGCTCTTAGTTCTTTGGGGAATATAGACAGAAGTGGAACTGTGGGCTCATATGGTAATTCTGTGTTTATTTTTTGGAGAAATTACCAAATTTTCCACAGTGGCTATGCCATTTCACATTCCCACCCAGCAATGTACAAAGGTTTCAATGTTTTTCATATCTTCTCTAAAAGTTAATTTTTTCTTTCTTTCTTGTCTTTTGTATTTGTTTTGGGCTTGTTTTTAAAATATAGAATAGCTATCCCATTGGGTGTGAAACTGTATATCAATGAGTGTGTGTGTGTGTGTGTGTGTAGTACTGGGGTTTGGACCCAGGGTGCTCTACCACTGAGCTATATCTCCAGCCCTAAGTTTTTATTTATTTATTTTATATGTTTAATTGTGGATGGACACAATACCTTTATTTTATTTATTTATTTTTATGTGGTATTGAAAATGGAACCTAGTGCCTCAGACGTGCTAGGCAAACGCTCTACCATTGACCTACAACCCCAGTCCTAGTTTTTATTTTGAGACAGAGTCTTGCTAACTTACTCAGACTGGCTTTCGACTTATAATTCTCCTGTCTGAGCCTCCTGAATAGCTGGGATTACAGGCATGCACCATCACACACTTGGTTCATTGAGGTTTTTGACTTGTATTTTAAGGATTAGTGATAGTGAGAATCCTTTCATAAATTTATTGATCATTTGTATGTAATCTTTGGAGAAATGTATATTCAAGTCTCCTGCAATTTGCTTGTTTGTTTTCTGCCATTCAGTTGTAGGTATTCTTTATATATTCTGGATAATAATCCTTTATCAAATGTATGGTTTGAAAATATTTCCTTGCATCTAGGAGTGGTGGCATACACCTGTAATCCCAGTGATTTAGGAGGCTGAGGTAGGAGGATTGCAAGGCCAACCTCAGCAATTTAGGGAGGACCTAAACAATGTAGTGAGATCCCATCTCAAAATAGTGCAGTGGTAAATCATTGCTTGATTCAATCCCGGGTTCTAAAAAAACATGAACAAACATTTCTTCCATTCTATGGGGTAACTTTTCATTCTATTGATAGTGTCCTTGGATGCACAAAAGTTTTCAATTTGGGATCATACCCAGGACCTCATGCATGCTAGGCAAGTACTCTACCACTTAGCTGCACCTTTCCCCACAACTTTTGGAAAAAAAGTTCTTAACTCTGAAGTAGAATTTATTTTGTGCTTGTGCTGCCTGTGCTTTGGGGGTCATGTTGATAATTTAGGTCAGAAACAATTTTTTTTTCAATTCAAATTCTGAAATAGGAGCCAAGATTATCTCCATTTTATAGCAGGAGAAACTACTGCATGAAGAAGGTATTTACTCCACCCCAACATTGATTGTAAACTCTGGGCTGACAATTCATAATCTGGTGTCGCTCACAGACCCTCACTTGCCCTGAAACATAAATTGTACCTCTCTCAGATCTAAAACACTCTTCCAGAGTAAACATCCCACAAACCCCAGAGGGTGGGGAAGTGATGTGCTAATTTCTTTTTCTTTGCTAGAAATGTCCAACTTTCACCCTTATGTTCAAAACAAGGATTCTGGAGGTATATGGAGTGTTGGAGTGCTTTCCTAGCATATGGAAAGCCCTAGTTTCAATGCCATCTAAAGTTCTGGAAGGGAAAATCTATGACATATTTTAGAATGTATTAATTTCTGGACACTGCTCTTTTGCTAGAGCAAAAAGAAAAAAAATCCCTATTTAGAATGAATTAATGGGTTGGTTACACTTAGTTACCAAGTCCTTCAGAGGGTGAGCCAAAAAGCTGTAATCCCTGCCCAGCCAGTATTCTATTGCGTTTTTAAGATAATACATTAGAGTGGCGAAGTGTCATTTCAATCGGTTGAAGAAAGTTCCTTTGCTCCTCCCTCCCCACGTCTCCACTTACCACGTAGTTTATGGTTTAAAGTAAGAAAGCCACGAGCCTGTGTAGCGCACGCCTATAACCCCTGCGACTCAGGCTGAAGCAAGCAGACGGCAAGTTCCAAGCAACTCAGCAAGCCCCTGTCTCAATTATGGGATGTAGCTCAGTGGTAAAGAGTCCTTGAGTTCAATCTCCAGTACACAAACAAAAAACAAAACCAAAAAGCCCGAAGAGTTTGCTACGGGAGCTTTTCAAGGAAAGATAAATACGGGCTTTCTTGATTAAGTTAACAGTGCGACGGGCGACAATGAAGGGAACTACTAAACCCTCAACAGTCAAGCCTTCTTTCCAGATAAAACTCAAGTCAACCTGATCATTTCAGGGGTGGTGGGCAGGAGGGTAATTTTCCAGCCAAGTCGGGGATGGTTTTGTTTTGTTTTATTTATTTTAAAGTAAGCTCCAAAGAGTGGAATTCTGCTCTGAGTTCTGAAAGGAAAGCGTCCAAATGGTGATTTGGGATCCTAGTGACTCCGGCTGTCCTTGGGTGACACTGAGTTGACAAGCGCACGCACTTAGAAGGTTTGAATCCCGAGGACGCTCCCTAATTCTTCATGCCCCCAAGATGTTTGGGGAAGGGACAGTATTGCCCTGCCACGCCGGTGCTCCGCGTGCTCCAGTTCTCTCCCCCCCAACATCTGTAGGTAGTCAGTCTGGGTTCTAGAATCCCCAGCAGCAGCAGCAGCAGCAGCACCTTTTGCGTTCCCGGAGGTGAACCCTCGACCTCCTTGGGAGGGGCTTTCCTCTGGATAGAGATCTAGGCCAAGAAGGGAAGAACCCGGGAGGGCTCGAGAGCTTGGGAGAGCAAAGGCGAGAAAGTGCTGGGCAGGGGCGAGCGCGGCCGAGGGCGGGGCAGGCTCGGGAGGCAGCTAGAGGGGCGTGGGCGCGGCCGCCCGCGCGCCCGGCCCGGCCAGGGGGAGGGGCGCTGGCGGGAGCGGCGCCTCCCGCCCGGGGTGAGAGGCGCGCGCGGCAGCCCAGTGGTAGCAGAGCGCTGAGCGGGGAGTGCGGGCCGGCAGCGGCTTAGGCAGGGAGGGCTGGAGCGCAGAGGGCCGGCGCGCAGCACGGCTGCCATGGGCGTGCAGTGACCAGACGCTCAGCGCGAATTCCTCAGTGGCGCGGCGCTCGCGCGGAGCTCCTTGGCTGGCTGTGCGTTTCCTTGGTCACCATGAAAGGTAGGGCTACAGCCGACTTCACAGAGCTCGGGAGGGTTTCGGGCGAGCGGGAAGGCGGCGGAGGTGCCTTTTGCTCAAACTTTTATGCAGGCTGCAGTCCCGGGGAGCCCAGACACTGGGGGCGCTCCCCGGCTCCACTGCTGGACACAGCGGGAGACCTCGAGGTTGGGGTTTTGAAGCGCTCAAGTACTCTCCTCCCCATCGCGTCTTTGCAAAGTAGTATGAAACCCTAAGTCGTTGTTTACGGATTCTAGTTTCCAACTTTTTAATCGAAAAAATATGCGGAGGAGAGTGAGGCATCATCATTCCTCCCAGTCTGTTTTCCGCTCTGCCGCGCTCTCCACTCTCTCCCTTCTGCTCTTTTCTCCCCTGGTTGCCGATTCTCCACCGAGCGGTCGCGGCGCGCCTGACCGGGTGTTTTCTCCCGGACTTGGGATGTTCTCGTGCGCCCTCCTCACATCTGGCAATGATTAGGTGCCCGCGGAGTTCAGCTGGCTGGGGAAGTGCATTTGGCATCTTTCTCCATCAGATGCACTGACTGGAAAATAACTGCACTCCGTTCCGCGTCCCTTCCATGTGTCCGCCTGTGGGGTTGGTGTGCCCACGTGGGCTCAAGGGGTAACACAGACCGTCCCGTTAATCGCCCCCCCCACTCCTGGAGGTGTTCTCTGCAGGCCCGTTTATAGAAATGTCAGATGGTATCGAACTTTAAAAAAGAATCACTAGAAGGGTTTTGCAGGGCAGCCTCTGTTTAGTGGACACGCGGAGATTTGTCAGTAGAATCTTGATTTATAAGAGAGATGAATAATTACAGCGGCGGCATCAAAGGGAGTCATTTAGACTGGGCCGGCGGGCGTGATGTTTAGCCAAGACCGGAGTTCCCGATTTTGTGCTAGGATAACATGTTTCAGTCCCTGCGAGGTCCATGGCTGGGTGGAAATGCCATCTATGACCGCGGTGACTGAGTTTCCACGCGATGCGATTCCTACGACTTGCCGGGGTTGCTATCCTGCGCGGTCGAGGGGGTGAGGGCGGTATTAGTGGGGAGGGGGGCGCGGTGGCGCCTTGAGAACTCAGCACTTGGAAAGTAACTTTTGGCTCCGGGAGGTTTCTCTGAAAGGCAATTCGCTCTGTACTATCCTGAGATAATTATCTACCGATTCACTTGCCCACCACAAGAGGAAGTCAGGGAAGGGAGGGAACTGTAACCCCAGGTGAAAAGTGGCCCAGGGAAAGAGAAATAAAAGACATGATTCAACTTTCTCCCCAGAACATTTCAAAATGCCCATAGTGTGTGTGCCTTCTCATATTCCTTAGCTAGTTCTGATTAAAGGATCCTCCCCTGAAAGGAAAGAGTTTCACATGGCTGAAAGTTGCTCTGGGACTCAGTTATCATCATTTTAGCCAGAAGTGGGTCTTCTTGCTGATCAGTAAGGCCAGTAGTTTTCTATCTTTTACGAAGTTAAGCCACTCACTCCATCAGCTCCCACATGGCCCCTAAAACTTTGGTTGTATGTTTTACTGACTAAATAACTATAATCGCAGCTTGGGTACTTCTCAATATTAATTGGATCTGTAATGGAAAACACCTAGAAGCTCTAAACATGTGAAGTTTAAGCTGCATTCTGGACCAGGTAGCCGACCCACTGGAGAAATTTCGTGGTTTACCTGTTGTGGGCTGGGCACTGCCTGAAAGCCCACCATTTTCTGCCTCACTTGGGGAGACTGGTTTAGGAACTGATAAATCCCTGTGTAGGTTAGTCTTGTTGAAAACTTCTTTCTTTCTTTCCCTTTTTGGTACTGGGGCTTGAACCAGGGTGCTTTACCACTGAGGTACGTCCCCAGACCTTTCTTATTTTGTATCTTGGGACAGGGTTTTGCTAAATTGCTTAGAGCCTCACTAAGTTGCCAAGGCTGGCCTCAAACTTGCCATCCTTCTGCCTTGGCTTTCCAGATTGCTGGGATTACAGATGTATGCCACTGCACCCAGTTCAAAGGCCTCCTTTAGGAAAATATTCAAAGCCAGGCATGGTGGCACATGCCTGTAATCCCAGTGGCTCAGAAGGCTGCTGCATGAGCATCTCAAGCTCAAAGCCAGTTTCTGCAATTTAGCAAGGCCCTTATTGGGACCCTCTCTCAAAATAAAATATAAAAAGGAGTGGGGATGTGGCTCAGTGGTTTTTTTTAAAAAAGAATAAAAACATTTTGTCTGAGGTTTTCTTGCTATTGCTACATAATTGGCACTCACTTGTCTAGTTGGTGAGATGAGGAAGGGAGGGGCAGTAACCATTTTTTAATACCTACTAAGTGGCATCCATTGTGCTATACTCCTATAAGCAATCTGCAGTTAATCCTCTCAGCATTCCTAAGAGCAGGTTGTGTGTGTGTATGTGTGTGTGCACGTGTATATGCATGTGTGTTTGTGTGTTGAGGTTTGAGTCCAGGACATGCTAAAAATGTGGTCTACCAGTGAGCCACAGCCTTTTTTTTTTTTTTTTTTGGTTTTGAGGATCGAACTCAGGGGCATAGGACCACTGAACCACATCCCCAGCCCTATTTTGCATTTTATTTAGAGACAGGGTCTCACTGAGTTGCTTGGTATCTCACCATTGCTGATTCTGGCTTTGAAGTCCTGATCCTTCTGCCTCAGCCTCCCAAGCTGCTGGGATTACAGGCGTGCGTCACCACTCCTGGTTCCACAGCCCATTTTAATGAAGCCGCATTATTGATGTGGAAACTGAATCTAGAGAAAATATGAATTGCTAACTAGGAGGATGGGTAGGTATCTAAAGACAAGCTTCACAGGTTTCCCTGTGTTGCTTGGAAGACTCTAGGACACCAGATACAATGACTTTTTATGTAGAGGAGGAGAAAAGGGTATTCCAGAGAACTAACTAGCCAAGTAACCTGTAATTGGTACAGCAGCCAGGAAGGAGAGGAGCCAGACAATTGGACCTGGAACTTTTGAAGCCCAGCCCAGAGTACTGTTCCTAGGCACAAAGGAATTATCCATGCCTCCTTACCAAGTGGAATTATTCTGACACTTATTCTTAGGTAACCAACCCAAGATTTCACTAGGTCCTCAATTATGTTGCATAGTTGCTTATTCAGTAGGCTTCATTAAAATTTGATTTTCCTAAATGATAGAAGGAAGTGACAAGGCCAATGCTTAAAATCACAGTTGGCCCTCTATATTCACAATAGGTTCTATATCTGAAGATTAAACTAAGGATTAAAAATTAAAAAAAAAAACAAACTTGTGTCCATACCAAACACATATAGACTTTGTTCTTGTCATTATCCCCTAAATAATATAATGTACTAACTATGCACATAGTATTTACTTTGTATTGGCTATTAAGTCATTTAAAGCTGATTTGAAGTACATGTAAGGGTGTGTGGGTTCTGTTCAAGTAATGTATCATTTTACTCTTTGTTTATTTATTTATTTATTTATTTTTGTAATGCTGAGAATCCAACACAGGCCCTTGTGCATGCTAAACATGAGGTCTGCTATTAAGCTAAAATATTAGCCCCTAGCCACAACCTTGGTCCTGAGCCATTTTATATGGGGAACTTGAGCAATCTGGATTTGGTATTGATTTTTTTGTGGGGAGGGGTACACGGAATTGAACTCAGGGCACTTGACCACTAAATCACATCCCCAGCCCTACTTTGTATTTTATTTAGAGGTTCTCACTGAGTTGCTTAGCACCTCACTTCTGCCAAGGCTGACTTTGAACTTTCGATCCTCCTGCCTCAGCCTCCTGAGCCGCTGGGATTGTAGGTCTGCACTGCCATACCCAGCTTGGATTTGGTATTTTTGGTGGGGGGATTAATGTGGATGCTAAGAGACAACTATATTACCTGAAACCTTCTTTTGCCAAGTAGAAAATAAGTGGACATATTCTATAGAAATTACCTGACTTTTTGGGCAAGTCAGGTACCTTTTTAGACTATCTCTTTGACTTTCTAATTCTGACATTTAAACTTTTTGGACATGGCTTTTGTAATACTCCCAGTTTTGAGTCTAGCAACTTGGGCACATCTGTAATCCCAGCTACTTTGGAAGTTAGGCAGGAAGATTGCAAATTCAAGGCCTGTTTGGGCAACTTAGTGAGACTGCATCTCAAAATAAAAAGGGCCGGAGGTGTAACACTGAGGTAGAGTGCCTCTGGGTTCAGTCCCTAGTACTGGAAAAAAATTAAATTAAAAATAATAACATTTGGACAAAAACCTGGTTTTGGTATGATTCCAATGTGTTATTAGCCACAGCGCCACCTGTCTATGGAATATAGCAAACATCTTTCTGTCTTCTATTTCTCCATCCGGGGAGTAAGGAGCACCAAAATAATGACATCATTATACATTTTCCAGAAGATAATCTCTTGCCTCATTGCTGCAATACTTGAAACCTCCCAAGCTGATTAAAACATGAAGTTTGCTTTAATTTATTTCCAATTTCATTTTCAATTAGCTCATTACATGATACATCTCATCATTTTTGAATAAATATTCACATTCTTTCTGAAGGAAATCTGACTCCTCTAGAGTTAGGTGTGTCATTACTAAATCACATTCCTTATTTTGAAAATTGAGGATATTAGTGAGTTTCAATGCAGAGGCACTTGTTGCCTAAGAGACAACAGAAAACAGCCACTATCACTTGGGATTACTGAGGTCCAAATCACAGTTCTAATTTAACACAAGGAGGCTGTTGGTGCCATCAAAACATAGTGTTCAGCTGATTATTTTTGAACTTTTGTATATAAACATTTCTGAAATACTATTTGGCACTTTAATACTTTTAAAGTGCACTAGTCAGTATTGTATTTCTCCCACCCTCTGTTTCTGGGGACTCAGTCTCCTTGCTTTCTCTTTAGATTTCTTGTGCTTAACTGGGATAAGTGTGTAAGGGTGGCTTCATTTAACATTGAAAGAATCATATTTTCTGAAGAAACATGTAAACAAAATAAGGCCCTTCCCTGATTGGGTATGCG